CAAAGTTTTGACAGAATGTTCATACTACAGGATCTATAATTCTGAAGGAACTGTTGGGTACAAGTTAGAACATTCTGTCAAAACTTTGATCCATACTACAGGATCTATAATTATGAAGGAACTGTTGGGTATAAGTTAGAACATTCTGTAAAAACTTTGATCTATAACTACAGAATCTATAATTATGAAGGAACTGTTGGGTACAAGTTAGAACATTCTGTTGAAAACTTGATCTATAACTACAGAATCTATAATTATGAAGGAACTGTTAGATCAAAGTTTTGACAGAATGTTCTAACTTGTACCCTATAGATCCAGTAAAAGAGATCCGAGTTTTCTACAGGTTGTTGCCGTCCATTTTTATTGTCGTATGATAGTTCACCAAATGTTTTTGGGATAGTTTTGAGGATATAACTTGATTTTTTTATACTAAAGTAGCAAAATTTGTTTATTTTTAGCCATTATTTTTTTTCATCTTATTCTTTCTTTAGAGCCGAAGTTTACCATATTTTTATGTTGTATTCAACATCTAATTCTTAATATTGTTTTCTAAAGACAGATTGTAATGTGGCAGAGTTTTCTGTTTTTTTATTGTAATGTTTGACTTCTTCTGATATTTAGGAGCAGCTACGAAATGAAGAGCAGCTACTCACGTGTACATCTCAACCTTCGATTTCCCTTCGATAGTAATTAAAATCTATTATGTGTTTTTTGTTTTCAAATACAAGTTTGTAAAGCAGTTTAACTATGTGGTTAATAGTGGTCTGGATTTTTCAACTTTTATTTAATATATTACAGCACTATCAGTATTAAGTGCTACTGTGTGGGTTTCTGATTTCTTAGAATTAATTGAAATATAGTGCCTGAGTAATTACAAAGGAAAAACTTTTCTGGCTGGAAGAGGATACAAAAAAAAAATGAGGGAAATACAAACTCATTCAATTTTGATGATGAGGAACCAACTTTTTTGGAAAATATAGTTTGGAGACAGCTTGAATGGGTAGTGAAAGAAACTTTGTTACGAATGTACAACATTTCGACAAGCTCATGTCATAACCAGGTACTTATAAAAAAAAAAGTTGATTGATACCAAATAAACATACGAGCTTAAACAAGAGCCGGAGTTCCTTTTAACCATTTTTATTTTGGTTAATTTTTTTTTATATTAAACACACAAGCTCAAACATCTTGTGTTGCATAAGTCATGGCCAGGTGGTTAGGGTGCTCAACTTACAATCTGAGGGTCACGGGTTCAAATCCCCATCCCACCAAACATGCTCGCCGTTTCAGCTGTGGAGGCATTATATTGTGATGGTCAATTCTACTATTTGTTGGTAAAAGAGTAGTCCAAGAGTTGGTGGTTGGTGGTGATGAATAGCTGCCTTCCCT